CAATTATCATTAAAACCTTCCTAATTATCTCTCCCTATATATTTCTCCTCAATTTTGAACTCTTTCCCTAAATAATTCTATCCCAATTATCATAAAAATCTTCTTAATTATCTCTTCCTAAATTTCTCTTTCTTACATAATGCATTGTAGTTTACTTGGGCCCCAAAAGGGGACCAAATCCTCCCTGCACTTAACAGATTGTTAGCAGCCATATTTATAATAAGAAAGTGTTCAAGTGCAACCACTCCACATAATTATTTTTAGTAGTAAGAGGGATCAATAAATCTTAGTGAATAAAAGAGCTTAGAGTTAGAAGTGCAGTACCTGCATGTATCTGGCCAGAACAAGAAAATCAGTGCCTTTAACTAAATCGAGAATCTCCCTTTCTCTTTTATTTCCTTCGTCAGCCGGCAGATAATAATATGGAATGCCATGTCTCTTAAGAAAATTTATAACGTGAGTATTTGGAGCTCTATCATGATTGCTGCAAAATGGTATTTCATGTCAGTTGCCAAAATTTTGTAAATGGTAAATGAAACCATTTTCTGCTGCACCTTATTACACAACTTATATCCACGGGAAGCCTACCATCTTGCCAATCATGCAATACATCCACAAGGCAATGGTCCTGTAAGTGCAAAGATCAAGGAGATGGGATCTCAAAGAGCATGTGAGTGACAAATAAATTTGGAGAAGATTCAAAAAGAAATGAATTTTAAAACTAAAGAGGAATCACATGAAGCTCAGAATATTTATGTCTAGCATACCAGTTAAAAGTGACGTAGAGATGCACAGTAGCCCCAAGATTAGTCGATTCAAAATATGCATGCACCATGACTTGCAAGAAAAGATTGAAGAAGAATCAAGGATAGAATACAGACCAAAGCCAGACCTGGTTTGAAGCAAGAAGTGCAATCTTATATTTTGGATCAAGATCAGGGACCCGAACAACTGATCTTTTTGCATTGAACAGCTTTCCTATGTTCATGAAATCATTCAGCATCACATCATGGGGCCAGCGTACGGGATCAAAAACAAATTCACTGCAAATTTGTAGCAGCTCCTATCATTAGGTTTCTCCAATCACGCAAAATGTTTGGAAAATTAAGCTTACTAAAGTACCAAAATAATGGCCATCCAGCAATTGGTACATAATTTGAAATCTACTTAAAATCAGACAAGGGAATTCACAATTTCGTTTGCTCAGAAACTAAAACCTTCCAAGATGGGTGTGCGCTTTGAAATTGTAGTACAGATAGATCACATGATCAAACGATAGCTTTAGTTTAGACAAATTCTTCTTTAAGAACTTCAATTTTCAGTAACTTCAGTATAACAACTACTGTAAAATGAGCTCAATGAAGTGAGGGCAAGAAGAAGAGCAAATTCAAAAGGGAGACATGGATAGACTGCTTTGCGAATTTCAGATTTGCCTCAGACAGAAAGGCAAGTTCCTACCTTTTTCATTCGGATGGCAGACTGTAAAGCGAAGTCTCATTTAACTTTAGAATGAGAAGACAGAGGAAGATGAAAGTTCACTTAACAAAACAAAACAGGAAGAATTTCAGATTTTGGAACGCGTGAGTACATAAACAAGAATCAACAAAAAACCTGAAAACTTCAGTAAGATTTTCTTTAGCACTGCTAGCTTTTTTG